CATTGTATTTCATTATTTTTCAGACATTAACAGTTAATATGTAATAGTGAGATTGAGTGATTGATATTGAGAAGTGATGCAGAATGTGTTTGCAAACACTCAAAATAAAATTCCCAGTTTGTGCACACCTTTGTTCCTGTTAAAGTCAGCATCACAGTCCCCATGATCCAGGACAAGATTTTCATTCATGATAAATCCTTAACTTTGGGGTTTTTTCCTGCACCGTAAGAAGCTAATGCATCTCAACTAGAAACATAATACACAGTAATATAAAATCAAATATGATGTCGTCTTTATGTGTTTATCTTGCAAACAATGAGAACATTTTTTATTTGTGTTTTAATTTTTGTTTTTTAAGCAGCATTCTGGTATGAAAACAGTTATTTCATGTTTGCATTGTGTGCCTTTTTATTTGGGGAAAAAAAGGTACTTGCTGTTTCTGTGCTTTCATTCAGCACCTAAGGAAAAGCAGACTAACCTGGCATGTGTCTTCTGTTTAAAAGGTTTAAACATGTAATACTTTGGGGAGGAGTTATAAACGTAGCATTTTGCATGTGAAAATTGCTTTCCTGAGCAAGAAAATGAAAGTTCGGGGAAAGTTCCCAAGAAAGTTTCTTTTGGGAAAGGTTTGTTCATAAGACAAATATACTCCCATGGGTTTAGCCTTCCCTGGAACAATAGATGTAGTGTAAAAATCTTAGTCAGATTTCTGCACCTGAAACAGCTTTGGTGTCCATTTTTTCATCTGATTCCCTTGGTGGCTTTTTAAAAGAACTGTCAGTTGATTTTACAACAGAGAGTATTTTCAAAGTTGACAACACCGTTTACTGTTTCTGTGCAAAGAGAGTGAAATCAATTTCTCATGAGTATTTGAGCCCTGGGGTCAATGAACTGAATTTCGATTATGGAAATTACAAGTTACACTTCTTGTCATTTAAGAAAAGCACTCTTGTATTTCATTATTTTTATTTGCTTTTGGCATTCTGATCACTACACTGACATCCATGCAGTGCTCCACCCTAGACTAGCAGTAATCCAGGCAAACAGTTGTCAGCTGTGATATTTGGAAGAAACAGCATTCTTGCTTGCAAACCTGGATGATGAACACTGAGAAAATACCTAATCAAAGGGGATTAATGTTATGACCTTTACAGGGTGGTTATGACTTTTTGCTGAAGTCCAGCATTTTTTAATATGCAGAATATGAAGTTCTGCCTTTAACCATAACACAGAAACAATACAGATTACTCATTTAGTGCAAATTGGCCTGAAAATGGGTACAAGTCATAAAGTAGTTTATGATGCACCAATGTGACACTGAAAGGAAGAGGTGAAAAGTGTGCAGCTGTCAAAAAAAGATAATTACGGGACAGACAAACTATGGATCCCCTTCTCCTTCTGCGGAGCAGTTACCTCTCAGTAGAGTGACTCACACAACTAACTGCTCATCACTGGGAATTAATAGCCCAACCCAGAGCATGTATAATAAAGCAGGCCTTTTCTTTCAATTTCTTTCAATTGCTTAATATGCATTTGCCTGTCGATCTGAAATATATGTCCACATAGTAAATATTGTTACAGTGCATGAACAGAAATCAAGACTGGAGCTTATATACATTCATCTGTTCTCAGCTGAAAATGAATAGCTATTTGTTAAATTATTAATGGCTAAAAGACTGCTGCCTGAAATTAGATGAACCCTTTTTAGGGTTGTTTTTCTTTCTTGTCTTCTCCATGAACTTTACATTCTTTGCTACAAAGTGCTACAACTACCAGGAAGTGTTTTAAGTGTCCTTTGGTTGCGAATACATTTAAAAATAGATATTCCACATCCTAGGCAATATTTCCTGTCACTTAAATAAGGCCTGGAAATTATCACTATATGTACCACGTTAAAAAAAAAATAAATCAAATAGATCTGACATTGCTTTTCTTTTTAAAAAGCTCCTATACATCTGTGCAAACGAAGCTTTAAGATAGCTAACAAAATCTCTTTGTAGGATTTGGCCAGGGAGAGGCCTGGTTCTTGGATCCTTTACATGGCTAAGCTCAAGCTTGATGTCCATAGGCAGCGCAATTAAAACTGACATTCCTGTGTGAAGAGATTAATGAAATTTTCAGTAAAAAGAAAGATATTTTCAGGATTAAGCAGTACCTGAGTGGGGGTGCCTACCTACAATTTTTCACTAGATTCATTAATACCTCCCACATAATCGTTTAGCCTCTCAAATTCTTGGGTTATTTTTCTTTATCCTCTGTTTCTCATACTTAGCGCCTTAGTCCACAAGGAGTTTCACTAATTTCATGGGAAAGAGCAGAGCAGTGCTGCAGGGTTTCAGCTATCCTGACTCAAGATTGAGGAAATATGGACAAAAGCAGGGGAAAGCTAGATTAATCCTCCCATAGATTCACTTATTATAGATAAAAATAGCTCTTGGCTAAGATAATACATCTTCATTTTCCTTTTCTCCCTATTGACATGATGGTTCTGTGCAATCCACTGAACCATGAAGCCTTCCTTGGTCTGGTGAGAAAAGTGCTGCCACACATGGATGAGCCATCACACTGAAGTTAACCATTCCTATTTTCTTTTATTGGCTCTTAACAAGACATTTGACACTGTATAGGGACCTAGATCAATAGACTCTTCTTCTATTATTTTCTACTTCTCTTTTTTTAATATTAATGTGGATTGTTCTACTCGCAACATGATTAATGGTAAAGGACCATATACAGGTATTGTTACTGTTGTTATTTTTTGTTGTTGTTATGAATAATAACAAAAATAACAGTAAGTTATTTGAAGTGGTCTCCATAACTCAATCACTGTTTTCCAAGAATGATTAAAAAAACAATCACACCAAGAAAACGAAACAGATAGTTAGGGAGGTGGCACAACAAAAAGGGTGGCTGTAAAAATCAATAGTTTTCATTACAGTCAGCTTGGCAACCATGTATTTTGAGAGGACATTTAAAAGTGAAATCAAAAGAAAATGTTTCATAAGTATGATCAGAGACAAGTTTTATATGGACTAAGTCATAGAATCATAGAATCATAGAATCTTAGGGGCTGGAAGGGACCTCGAGAGATCATCTAGTCCACCCCCCCTGCCAGAGCAGGGTCACCTAGAGTACATCACACAGGAACTCATCCAGGTGGGTTTTGAATGTCTCCAGTGAGGGAGACTCCACAACCTCCCTGGGCAGTCTGTTCCAGTGCTCTGTCACTCTCACAGTAAAAAAATTTTTTCGGATATTCACCTTGAATCTCCTATGCTCCAATTTACACCCATTCCCCCTTGTCCTATCACTGGTAATCACTGAGAAAAGCCTACCTCCGTCCCCCTGACACTCACCCCTTACATATTTGTAAACATTGATGAGGTCACCCCTCAGTCTCCTTTTCTCCAAGCTAAAGAGACCCAGCTCCCTCAGCCTTTCCTCATAAGGGAGATGTTCCACTCCCTTAATCATCTTCGTAGCTCTGCGCTGGACTCTTTCAAGCAGTTCCCTGTCCTTCTTGAACTGAGGGGCCCAGAACTGGACACAATATTCCAGATGTGGCCTCACCAATGCAGAATAGAGGGGGAGGAGAACCTCTCTTGACCGACTAACCACACCCTTTCTAATGCACCCCAGGATGCCATTGGCCTTCTTGGCCACAAGGGCACATTGCTGGCTCATGGTCATCCTCCTGTCTACCAGGACCCCCAGGTCTCTTTCACCTACACTACTCTCCAGCAGTTCAGCCCCCAACCTGTACTGGGACATGGTGTTGTTCTTCCCCAAATGTAAAACTCTGCACTTCCCCTTTTTGAATTTCATCATGTTTCTCCCCGCCCAACTCTCCAGCCTGTCTAAGTCTCTCTGAATGGCAGCACAGCCTTCTGGTGTGTCAGCCACTCCTCCCAGCTTAGTGTCATCAGCAAACTTGCTGAGGGTACATTCTATACCCTCATCCAGGAGATGATTTGAAGGATTACCAAAAAGGCAGAAAGCAGTGGAAATAGGAGAGCAATGTAAGTTTGTGAAGCCAAATGACCAGTGTTCTGCTGGTGTTTCATAAACCTGGGGCTTCTGAATAGCTCTTCTGCATGCATTGGTGGGTAGAACAGCACTTCCATGCATGAAGACACCCAAGAATATTTACTTATCACCATGTTTGTAATTGCTGTGATACTCCAAGTCGTCCAATGTAGAAATCACACCCCAGAAAAAAACAGTTCTACAGATGTTGCCTAATTTATTAAAACGCTTTTCCCACAAATATGACAATGTTGTTTAAAATTTTTCAGTCACTTATTTGGAAGGTATGCTGACATGTTGCTTGTGTGATGGAGACAGCTCCCTTATCTCCTCATGGGAGCATATCATGGGCCACCTCTCAATATCAAGTTCAGTAAATGGATAGTCTTCTGTAATATTTTGGTATTATGAGTGTTCTATTCAGACCGAGATTAGAGTATTGCAGGGCCATTTAACATCCATCTCTTATACTTTTGGCTGTCTGATTCAATTGCACAGGCTGATTCAAAATCCCTGTCCAAGCTAATGAATCAGGCTTTCAGAAAGTGTTTATTAGCTAGACCTCACAAGGGTTTGTGGCGAGTCTTCACTTGAAGCTTTAAAAAAAAAACAACAACATTGAAAATGTATTCAATTACTACTTGTTCTCTGTGGGCAACTGCAATACTTTTATGAGAAAATCAAAATATATTATGAAGGTAATTAGGAACTTCAGAATGTCCAGACTGCATTCAAAACAAAGAATATTAATTTTGTTTATTGAATTAGAATTAGTAAAACATTTGGCAATGTCTGTTCATTAAGATTATGAGAGTATTTGGTTGTGGGAAAAAGATATCTAACACGTTTCTCCAACTTGGACTGTGAAAAATGAGGAACATTCAACACAGAAAAAGCAAGTCTTCAGTTGCCAGCTGTGAAATAGAATGGATAAGACATAAGTTACTGTCCTAATAAGTGTGCCATTTGTGCAGCTTCCACAGATGACAGTGCAGCAGAGAAGAAGGGTGGAACACTTCATGCTGGCTTAATTGTCGGCATTCTAGTCCTGGTCCTCATTGTGGCTGCAGCCATCCTCGTGACTGTCTATATGTATCATCATCCAACGTCAGCAGCCAGTCTCTTCTTTATAGAGGTAAGACAAAAGCAACATGTGTGTCACTAGTCTTGTCACTTGGCTAGTATAATCGGGGTTGCCAAAATAGAACTTTCTTAACTAAATCTAGAAAGTATTCTTGTGTTTATAGTGTAAGCTTTGAAGAATCAGACCTACTTCACCCAGCAGGTGATGCTGTTTTGTTCTTTACATGTTTGTCACTCAGCTGCTTCTTTAATCACTATTACTCTTTTTTGTTTTTACACAGGACATATATCTATAAGTTACACTCTATCTCTCTTTTCTGTTCCTTCATTGTCCTCACCATGGCATTTTTCCATTAGCTCTCATGTGCAATGACATTTTATTTTAGGACTTCTTTATTTCTGTGGAAAAATAAAAAGGTTGCATTCATTAATTCTCTAGAAGATCTGACTTAAGTTTTCTAGCTGGAAACATGTTAGCCATTTCATTAACTCATTTTTGTTGGCAGAAATCTTTTAACACTTGCCACAGTGTGGGAAAGATTCTTTTAACCTTATTTTTGAAATCTAAATCTAATATCATCTCTTTTTACTAGTACAGAGGGAAAAACCTTTTTAGACCATGATTCTTCTGACCTATTTAAGACATCTCCTTTAGTATTAGATAAATTTCCAATTTTCTCCCTCAAATATAGCTACCTCAGGTGGATAAATCTACATCGCAGATGCTAACATTTAGTCAGCTCAACTCCACTCTATATGACAATATAAGAAAAGAACAGTTTCCATAGGTGTTTGGTTATATGAAAAACTGTGAACACCTACACTTAATTAAGTTGGTGGTTTTTTTCAGCTCAACAATGTTCCTTTACTTTATGATAAGTATGTAGTTGCTAAGCATGAAGGAAAATACTGATTGTTCATAACCCCCACCTGCAGTACTTCCTTACCTTTAAGAGCCTGTATGGTTAGTAGAAGGCAATGGTGAAGATGCAGAACTACTGGAAGTGGTGACTAGAGGCATAACTAGGGATTGCTTAGATAAAAGCCTGGACCAGGAAGATAAAGGCTTTGATTCTTAGTGACAGCACTGTGAGTTGAAGTGAGACATGAACATGATCAAAACGATTCCTCTTAAAGATCCTATTATAATAAATATGTCTTAGATGCACTAGTAGTGACAGAAATCAAAATGAATTGTTTACCAGTATTCCATGCTCAAGCGATGTAACTGCATTAACCATTGGGGAACCGCATCCATTTAATGAAATAAATAGATTTCTTTCATATCTGTGCAATATTTCAGGACAGTTCTCTATTGATGTAGACAAACAAACTTCACTGAAATCCTTGTAGAAAAGAGAAGAATTTGTCCCTGTCTTTTTTTTCATACACAGATTGAATTGCTATTCTTCCACTCCAATATAAACAAGTTTCTTATCTGTTATGATGTCTCTAAACTAAGCAAGTGGCAAAACCATTTTTAAAGAGAAGAATGCCAAATTAGAACACATGTATTTATTATTTTTTGTTCTCAGTGTAGTAATTGCATGTTAATTTATTTCATTCACTGATATCATACACATCATTGAAACAGTGGTGCCTTAATCAGTTTCATTAAATCCATTCCAATTAATTAAACCCTAAGTGGCATTAATCAACCTATGCAGACAAAGCAAAAATGTATTTTAGCAAGCAATAGACTTCTGGGAAAAAAAAAATAATAAAAAAAATCTGTTTAAAATAAAGGAGATGTAATTGAATGATAAAAGGAGGAAGTAAATCAGTCAAAATAAAATCTATATAAAATGTGGTATAAACTACATCCTCTTTTGGTTACTAGGAAAATTGTGATACTAGTGAAGAATCAGCCATTTAGCAAGAATTATAGGAGGTTCTAGCCATGAAGATGTTGCCTTTCCCTGTGAGTAGTAAAACCACTGAGGCAGTAGTAAAATCATAGGGGGTGGAGAACGGGATTACTCTGAATTTCAGAACATTTCCACAAAATCAAAAATTTTAAGCTATTGTTGGTATCATAGGCATAGAAGAACAGAACAAGGTAATCCATTCTAGAAATTAAATTGCTTTAAAGAGATTTATTCATTTAATTTTCAAAGGATAAAGAAGAGTTTGACCAATTCCGGAAATAAAGAGTAGAATATGTTATTCTTGTATTCACCTGAGCCATAGGATGTACTTATTTCCAAAACAGAAGAGAATGTATCTTCTCTGACTGGCATTTTGAAACTAAATTACAAAAGAATAATGAGGCATAACTGGTATAAATAGGTCACTGTTATGAAAAAAGCATTCCTTGTTGTATTTGTGCAATTGAAAAATGCTTCTGAATAAGCTGCTAGAGATGACATGGTATCCCATATACGACAGCAGAAAAGCTGTATTATCTGTTGAAAATGAATGAAGTCTGGATCTGATGTTACAGTTCTGGGGAAAGAGCTCAAGAGGATTGTCATGAGCTTGTTGTGAAATGAGAACAAGCACATAAATATTTCAGAAAATATGATTGTTTTCTATGAGTTTCTTGATTAATAAAACAAATTGCACAGTTAAAACAAGATGGGACAGGTGGACACGCAGCTCCCTCATGCAGATATCTACAAAATTACTACTACACTGAAATCTACAATCAAGTTTTGGGACAAAATAGAGAAAAGGGACCTACCCTATTTGTGTTCACTTTTAAAGAATCTACTTTACGGAATCATCATGTTGACATTAAATGTGACATTAATTTAGAACTGTAACACAACCAACAGAGAAACTTCTTTTCACATCTAAAATTCTAGGATGCTGTCATAATTTCATAGCTAAAGTATAATTTTCAGTCAGATTCTCTTGGGTACTTTAGGCTAAGGGCTATGTAAGAAATTTTGAGTTTATTTGGTTTATAGTCATGACTGGTTACTGTTTAAAAGAAGTGTAATAAGCTGATCTGTGTCTGAGGCTTTAAGTTTCTTTCTGCTTTGTGTTCTCTGCAGATATCACCCAATATTTACTTACCACCTCAGTGAGGTTTTTACATCTCATATCCCCATTTATTGTGCCCTCATGTTTGTCACATCATCCTTTTTCTCAGTGAGCTCCCCTAGATAGGGATAAATACACCCACACTTCGATGGCACTGTTGAACTTTGCACTGTTAAATGTAATCCCTTGTGACACCTCTGAGCACGGTTCAGTGATATCCTGAGTGCATTAGTTGGCTTAAATGAGTGATACACAAAAGCCAAGAAAAATGCCATTTATTCCAAAAGCAACTATTGTTTTAGAACAGAGTAACATTATTCTATTATTATTTTTACCACTGAACTCTGAAGAAAACGTCTCCTCTAGTAGTTTTCTTTATAGCTGTTGAGCACAATGCATATGTGCAACTCAGCCTGGAACAAAAATAGCTATTTTGAGCTATCATCTTTAGAAGTCTTGAATGCTAGTGCTATGCAATTTGCCCATGATAGTGTATAATTTTAAAATACCAATACTATTTGGAAAAAAAGTTTCCTTTGTGTTAAGTGTGTAGAAGATTCAAATAAAAATGCAATGTTTTCTTGTTTCTTCCAGCCCCCACTGCTACCCAACATGTGTTTTGTTGTTTAAGTTGGACACTTCTCTGGTGACTTAAAGACAGGATGAATTATCAGCTTTTAAAGTTAAGGGAGTTCCAGTCAAAGTTCCAATGAATACAGGCTCTTACTGAAAGCTGAGTAAATGTTGACTGAATATTATCTTGCAGAGTGACAGAAGAGATGTTGTATGCTTTGGTCTTTCATTTATTTATGGTTATCCCTGTGGTATTTTCTCTCCCTTGAGTTTGATTTTATTGAAAATAATTTCCTCTTTTGAATCAAGTTGCACACCTACACTTACCTTGAGGAATCTTTTTTCTCTTGAACATACTTTGAACTTACTTGCACTGATTTTTTTTTAAGTGCCATTCAGGTCAAATAGTGCTCTCCATGTATCTTTCAACAAAGCAGAAGCTGGTCAGAAATCTAGCTATAACACATATAGCAACACACTAGCTATACTACAATTAAAAAGTAATTGATATAATCGCTAACCTATGGAGTGTACTTGTAGGATTTGAGGTTCGGTGGCCAAGAAGCCAAGGATGATGCCCCAATTGTAATGAACTGCATGCTTGTGATACAGATCATAGCAAAAATGATACAGATATCTGGAGATGAATGTAAACAGGAGTAAAGAAATTTTGGTTGAGTCAGATGGATTTCCTCAAATTTCATTGAGTTGAGGACTAAATAGCAGATTTAGTGGTAATTTAGAATTTTCTTCTTTCTTTCTTTTTCTTCATGTTATTTTTTCTTCTGTTTTTTAATGTGTACTGATTTGCATTTGTGTGTGAACTTTAGCACTGAAAGCAAATAATGTTGAGATAACATTTAGCAAATGAAAAAGCAAGACATAAGGCAGACAGTCTTTTACTCAGATGTCTTTTCCCTGTTTGTACCCCATTACCTGTGGACAGAAGGGTTGCAGATGACACAATAAGTTTTTATGTGCATGCCTTATTTATATTTTTTGTACCTTTCTTGTTTATATGTTGGTCCAAAGTCCTTTTAATCTTTGAAATTTACCTCTGCTGTCATCCCAGTACTCTGCCTTTGGGGATTGAAGGAAACATGATCTGGTCACAGCTGAGAAGACAGCAGAGGAATTGCAGGCTGATATGAAGGCAGGGAGTCAGACTTGTGATGTCTTTTCCCAGCTGGACACAGAGATGCTGTTGCCAAATGTGCTTGTGTAAGCCTCAACAACAGCAGAATAAATTTTTTTTTGTGGCAGTTCTCTGCAGGTAGGGAATTTCAAGGAATTTAAACTAATATTGCAAGTTGGGACCATCTTAACCTCTGGCAAAGAGCCTTTCTCTTGTATTGCCTTTAGGTACAAAACCAAATCCAGCTTATTAACACTCTGAAGCTGAATTCAGAGCCTGTATATTTCTTAATAGCAGTTATATGTGTCTCAATAGTAGTTAATATGTCACATATTGAAGAGAAGTGAGGGTGTTTG